ATCTGGTGAAAATTTCATGTCATTAGCACCTCTAGTAATATATTTACTGAGAAAAATGGTGACGTGTTCAATACTTATTTTACCCGCTGTATCATCTCTCTTTAAAAGCATCATCAAATATCATAGAATATGATGCGGACATGAATGTTTTCTTAAACTTTATATTATTTAGCCTTTAGGTAAATCCCTGCAGACAGCCTCAACATGTCTAACCTTTCATGTTGGGATCAGGCTTTTTGACGGCAGCCATCGGTGAACCGCTGGTTACGCCTGGTTGGCCGGCACGACCTGCAGGCCTGGGGGAGCCCGAGGCCGTCCGTCCTGGAGACTCCTGAAACACGTCGACAAAACGGGTCAGTTCACCAGTCCAGATAGGAAAAATAAGAATTAAGATGCCACACATGAAGGGATTTTAGACACTCACTGTCGCTCCTCTTGTTGGCGTTGCTGGCTGCTTTGCTAGCAAAGACTGAAAAGGAGGGAAAATGTTTTTTTTACGTTTCTATTAATTTGCAGCATTTATAAATCATTTTATTTTGAAAACCTGCATATCCTATATAAAAAAGAAGAGAAATAAATTATTGTTTGCTTTCCCTTTTCTCATTTATCCACAAAAACCAGATAAATGACCTTATTTGAAACAATAAAAGAACATCATACAAATACGTTCAACAACAAAAATTGGATTCAGACATTTTTAAAGAGAAAAATAAAAGTAGGGTTTACCTGTTGCTTCATCAGGAAGACTTGCTCATCCTCTGCGTTGATCTCTTTGTCGTGAACAAACTGAAWAACAAGAATAAATGACCTCAGTTGTAAGATGATGACAATTTTCTGTAACATGAACTGTTGAGGCAACGTATTTGTCAGTATTTTACCTTCCGTACTGGAGGCTTTGTGATAAAATCTTCAAATGGATCATCTGGTCTGATGGTTGTGAGGTTTTCGTGCAAAATCCCAATTTTCTTCTCATTATCCCATCCAGATGGACTGAAAAAAAAAAAAAAAAAAAAGGAACGCTGTTCATGTGCAGCAGTTAAAAGGAACGCAGGGTTTAATGGCAAACAATTTGCAAGAGCATTTAAAATGACATGAAAATTAGAATTTTTGTGTCCCACACAGAAAATGAAATTATGCATTAGCACTAATGTAACGTAAATCCTTTAGTTTCAGTGGAACCATCCTGTGCGGTCTGTTACTTACATGAACACGGCGTCTTTCTCAACCACTAAGGCAGGTGTGGTGAACTGAAACTCATACAGCTTGTGGACTATATATTTGTAAAGCAGATCCAGGTTCTTCTCCTCTTTGACCGAAGTATAAATCAGGCCAGCTCCATCTGGTGACGCAGTTAAAGATGTACAACTAGGAATAAAGTCATGGAGTGACAGATACAGAAAAAAACAAAACAAAAACAATTTATTAAAATAATTTAAGTTGACCCTGAGTAACACTGAAGCCATATTAAAGGATACACTGTAAGCAGAATCGTCTGATGTGGGACTGGATGAAATCAAAGTGCTCGTCTCTGTAGTCGTGCTCCTTCTCTAGTACGCTGATCGCATCACACTGGCGGAGCAGAAAAGTCAGTTATTTCAGCGAAACGACTTCCGAACCTGAGATGTGCAGAAACTTTTGGTTTCTTTAAATCAGGACTGAAAACACTGTCGTGGTTTGTATTTTTTTTTCATTAGGTCTTAGATATTTGCTTGTTTAAAACGAAATTTTATTGTTTCTTTTCATGTGATGTGGAAATTGGAATGCAATCCTATTAATTTTCTCTTTTAAATGCACTTTCTTCTTTCATATCTTAAATGACCACTTCATTTAAAGTGTCACTTTCTTGCTTTACACAAAAATAAAGCTGCATCCCACACATTTTAATCCTTGCAACAAGTTCAGTTCTTGCACTGCCGAAGGTTTTGCTTTTACCTTTGTGCAAACTATTAGCACTGGAATGCCCAAGTTGTGTGTGAGTGTGTCGTCCCCCAGAGGCAGCACAACGGCCTCGTCTTCCCCCGATGCTGGGGCTCGTCGTGGGGAGGATGGGGCAGCATCCTCTGGTTCTGAGTACTCCTGGAAGGCTTTTACAACTTAAAAAAAAAACGACACAAGATTAGTGGACACGTTACTCAAAAGCAAACACCTCAAATAACTTAGAATCTCTACACTTTTTTTTATATTTATGAGCCTTGTTTTATGATGAAGGTATAATTGTTGTCATTTTTAACTGACAGTAACTGTGGTGTATCAAAAATGCATCATTCCTCACTTTTCTGCCATGCTGAAAGAACTGTCCACTGTGTGTGTGTGTGTGTGTGTGTGTGTGTGTGTGTGTGTGTG